CACGTGACATTGCAAGTTTGACATGTGTGTCTTACACTATTACTATTCACTCTGAGCTTGAAGTGAGGGCATTCCATGCTCAGAGAGCATTATTATTACTATTCAGTCAATCGATCAAATTGATTTTAAAGACTAGCAAGCTACTAATAACATAATTTTGCTAAAAAAGAAATGAAAATAAAGATTGATATTGATAGAATAAAAAAGTGAAGATAAAATTAATGTAAAATTACGAAGTACAGATATTAAACAAATCCTATAAAATTACAATTAAATTTTTGAAGAATAATCTAGCACAAGGCTAGAAAGTGGAAGAACATGAGTTCTAGTCCTGCCTTAGCCATGAAAGTCAATTGAGTGACCTTGGACCAATCACTCTCAGCCCAACTCATCTCACAGGGTTGTTATGAGCAAAAGAAGAGGAGAAAGGTGTGTTGGATTTATTTGCCACCTTGCCACTTATTTGTAAGAACAAAGGCAAGATACAAAAATAAATAAACGCTATAAACTAAGATAACTTTAAAGGACATGAATAAGAATTTATAAAACAGTATGAGAATGTGAGGCTATGGTAACATATCTTAACTCTAATACTTTCTGAAGCCCTGTTGGAGTTAAGACCATTATATAACATAATTATATATAATTATATACCGTATATAATTATAACAAAGAAATAACAAAATAAAACACACTGTGTCTTTATTTAAAAGGAGGAAGAGGGGAAGAGGAGGGAGAAGGAAAAAAGGGGAGAAAAGGAAGAAAAGCTATACAGAATAATTCAGAATGACAGAGTTGGAAGGGACCTTGGAGGTCTTCTAGTTGAACTCCTTACCCAAGCAGGAAACCCTATACCAGGGGTCCTCAACCTTGGCAACTTTAAGACTTGTGGACTTCAACTCCTAGAATTCCTCAGCCAGCTTTGCTGGGAGTTGAAGTCCACAAGTCTTAAAGTTGCCAAGGTTGAGGACCCCTGCCCTATACCATTCCAAAGAAGTTGCTATCTAATGTCTTCTTTAAAAACCTATCCACAACTTCTGAAAGCAAATCATTCCACTGATTAATTGTTCTGTCAGGAAATTTCTCCTCAGTTCTAGGTTGGATCTCTCTTTGATAAGTTTACATCCCATACTTCTTGTCTTGCTCTAGAATAGGTTATCTCCTTCTTTGTGACAACCTTCAAAGGTATACAGCCTCTTAAAAGTAAATAGTGAGTTATTAAAGGCTAGTAAAGGCTCTGCATAATATCACTTGGACAAGTTATTTACTTTTAATCATAGCTCTGACACAAGATCAGGCTATATTGTTGGAAATTCCTGCCACCTAGTCAGCTAGCAAGAGACTAAGGTAATTAGCCTCCAGCCTGCCTGGACATTGCGATATGTATGGGCAAATATACATTTCTCTAGATTTCTATAAAAAAAGGCAACGCAGTAACATATAATTCAATTTCAATCTTATCCTCATCACAAAGAAAGAGCCACAGCTCTTTTAGTATGTAATAGGACCTTCTCTCCAAGACAGAAGGGAGGGCATTACAGCAAGCAAGACTAAAATCTCTTCTGCTGTTTTGGGGACAGTTGTGTAATGTAGTGGCCCCCAACCTTTTGGGCACCAGGGACTGGTTCCATGGAGGGTGGGGGTTTTTTTGCAGACCGGTGGGGAGGCATGGCTTTGCACACTGCCTGGATCCCACACATGCAGATGGGGCTTCGCTCACTTGTGCGACCTGGTATCTGGTAGGCCGTGGATTGGTATTGGTCCACGGACCCCATGCGTATGTGAAGGAACAACACTTTTTTTGTATTCACTGAATTATTATATGGTGGAGCCTGATTAAGATCACTTTTCAGGGCCATATCTCTGGCATGTTACTTGAAAGATGATTTGGCCTGATCGATTCTCATTGGAACCAATACATCGGGGCAGAAATCATAATGGCTTAGGACATTGGGAAAAAAGTAGCAATACATTATGCGACGTCACATGACGTCACGAGTTTGACATGCCTGGCTTAGGTTTACACAAGAAGTTTGGAATTTGTCTTAAAAAGTCAAGAGAGTCTGACAATCTGAGTTGAAACTTGAGCCAATAACTAGCATGTGCTTTTGGGCAGATTTAATTGGAATCATTCCAGTTTCAGCTTAAAGGGCTGTGTAGAGAATACAATGAGGAACCAAAACCAGGTTCCTTAACAAGATTCATTATACATTATACACTCCTGGACTAGAGGCTGAATGTGGGGCTTCTATGAGGTAATAGCCAGAAAAACAATTGCTAGGTGATTCCCACATCTCTCTAGACATCTTTGCCGATGAGCAGCTTCAATAGCGGGAGCTTTGAGGTGGTTAGTAGAGTATGGATCACTTCAACACCATTGGTTTTCTCTGCATGTTATGGTTTGGATAAGCCAGGGAGGCTAGTGAACTGCTAAACTGTATAACCTCTTCCTCCAACTTATTTTTTTCAACACCAATAGAGCAAGCCACTTATATATAAAAAGGCCAAACCCTATTCCCCTTTAGCACTGATGATGTTACCTAGATCGATAATAAAATATCTGCAAGAAAACAACCAAACTCAGCGAGCGTCAAGAACCCCACAGTTCAACCCTGAACTACAAATATTCTTTTCTATTGGAATTACTATGTAGTAATGCAGAATTACTATGTAGGGCTGAGTTTTTCAAATCTATTTCTATAACAACCCCAACTTAAAGGGGTTCTGTCCCTCCTTCATTCTAGTGTGACTGATTTTTTATCACCAGACCATTGCCTCTTGATCAGGGACTCCAGGATTTGTTTTAGCTGAAGTGGATAAACATAGCAACAGCTGATAATGGAGAATCTCCATAGACATTTAGCTGATAATGGAACATTTGAAAAAAGAAACTGAAGGTTTTTTTGTGCAAAGCAGAAGAAACATTGACTGTTTCTTCTGTCTCTCTGCACAATCTGCATTTTGAACCATTTGATTATTTTTTCCAATTGTGGCCTTCATTTCATTAGTTTGAATAGCCAAAATTAAGCCTTTCTTTTTTAAAAAAATGTTTTAGTTATAAGCCATTGCTAAGTTTTATCTTTATCCACTTTCCCCTTGATCATTTGCAAAAATTGACCCTGTAATGTTTTTTCTTGATGGCATTTTGTTCTTGGTTTATTACATTGCTTTGATTTTCATGTTTTCTTTTCAGCATATTCAGTAAGTTTCAATTTTTAATTTACATTAATTCTTGTTCTTGGCTGTCTTTTATGTAATCAGCCAGTGCATGCTTTTCTTTGAGTTTGTTTGAAGTAAATGTCTACTTCTATTTCTCCAGGGCAGGTATAATCTATCAATATCACTATGGAAATGTAAGCTTTCTGGGGGGGGTTGGTCCAAACTGTCCAATTCGGCTTCTGTCCAATTAATCATTCTAGCAGTATATCATATCACAGGTATGCCACAAGTATTGATGGCTTTCATGTTTCCACCATTTATAATTTTAGCACTTTTCTGATTCTTTGGATATGATTTACCAATCACATTTTTAACTTGCCCATGCTTGATGTTATTCAATGATAAAATGCCCAGATACTTGTAGGCTTCATCTTAATAGCTCTTAATGGTTTAGCCATGCAAAATTTCAATTCCATTACGGTGATTTTATTCAAATTTATTTTTATTGTGGCACATTACTCTAGGCCAAAGTCTTACCATATTTGTCAATTGCTGTATTTCAATTTCTAATTTTTTATGAAGTATCAGGTCATCCATATAAAGCAACAATGATATTTTATTACCATTTTTTGCTGTTTGATAACCAAGATTTGTTTTCTTCAAAGTCACTGGAACTAGAATCATAGCAATGACAAATAATAAGAGTGATGTGTCAACTTAGAAGATGCTTCTCCTAACGTTGGTAAGTCCATATTTTTCACTTCCAACCATCCATTCTGGTCTTCCACTGCTTATGTTTTCTATAAACATTCCAATATATTTTCTGACACCTTATTACTATGGTTCATCACACAGTCAGCCTCATTTTCAGACTGGATTTGGCATTTTTATCCACCTATAGAGTCCTTCCCAAGGACCTGGGATAGGCAGTTGCTATTATGGTGGGTTACAGTTATCTAGACAGCATACTAAAAAGCAGAGACATCACCCTGCCAACAAAAGTACGTATAGTCAAGGCCATGGTTTTCCCAGTTGCAATGTATGGCTGTGAAAGTTGGACCATAAGAAAGGCTGAGAGCCAAAGAATTGAGGCCTTTGAACTATGGTGCTAGAGAAGACTCCTGCGAGTCCCCTGGACTGCAAGGCGATCAAACCGGTCAGTCCTAGAGGAGATCAATCCTGACTGCTCTTTAGAAGGCCAGATCCTGAAGTTGAAACTCAAATACTTTGGCCACCTAATGAGAAAGAAGGACTCACTGGAGAAGAGCCTAATGCTGGGAAAGATTGAGGGCAATAGAAGAAGGGGACGACAGAGAATGAGGTGGCTGGATGGAGTCACTGAAGCAGTAGGCATGAACTTAAATGGACTCCAGAAGATGGTAGAGGACAGGAAGGCCTGAAGGAACGTTGGCCATGGGGTCGCGATGGGTCGGACACGACTTCGCAACTAACAACAACAGTTTGCCAGATGTTTAGACTGGGTTTCACATTTATTCATCTATCAAGTCCTTCTGAGGGTCTGAGATTGGCAGATGTCGTTTATGGTGTTAACAGTATCGCAGGGTGTAAGTTGTTCCAAGTAAAGCTACATTTTGCAATTGACTGGTGGCAATTTTGTCAATAACTTTGTGGTTATTAATGTATTTTATCCTGTCTTTTTATACATAACTCATAACTTATTTTCCCCATAACAACCCAGTGAAATAGGTTAAGGTGAGAAAAAGCAACAGGCCCAAAGTTGCCCAGCTGACTCATAAAAATGTTCTGTGATAAAGCTCTTGTATAATCGGAATGTTTTATCATAACTCTTGCAAGAGGTCAAATGGAAAAAAATATTTTAGTTTCTTTCCATACTAGTCAGTGTTTTATTTCAGGAAGATTAATATTAATTATGAATAAATCCAGCTTTGATAATTTCACTGCAGAATATGCCTCAGCTATATCTTCAATCTAGAAAAAAAATAAAAAATATTAATAATGGTATATCCCACAATACTGTAGGCTTAAAGTCATATCCATTTATACAGTCTACTTATAAAGAAATGATAGCCTCAAAGATTTTGAATTAAATTATAAAATGATTACCTAGTTCTTGATAAATCTTTGTAAATTTTCTATGTTGTTATGGTGACAAAACAGTATATATTTTACAATTACTATTCTTAATCAGATAGACCATAATGTTAACTAAGTAATGTGGAATTAGAAATGTTTAGTGTATTTTATGTGTGTGTCCGTATGTGTGTACATATGCAAACTTGAGTCAGTTTTTTACTCTTAGAAAATGTCTGGACTAATCCCTGCAATTCTCTTGTCAAGATTTCTTTTGTTTGTCACTGCCTATTTCCAGGCTGAGAGAGAGTGACTGCCCAAAGTTACTCAACTGGCTTTGTACCTCAGGCAGGACTAGAACCAACACTTTCCTGGCTTCAAACCTTGTGCCTTAACCACTAAACCAGACTGATTACAGTGTAGGCTGAAATTACTCCAATCTAAATTCAGAAAGTTAACAGGAAAATAATGGGCCAATTATTCCCAGAATTGGTAAATTGGTTATAGTAACAGGGTTTAACACTAAATGGGGCATGCTTTCTAAGTCTGCTACTATTTACAATGTTGGGTATCAGCATTCTTGAAACTATGCTAAATTAGTGCAAAGCAATTTTTAGTACAAATAACTGTGTACAAAAACTTGTGAAAACACTGTTATGTAAGTTGAATTTGTAAAGTCCCACATTTAAATCTAGCTGCTGTTATGGCTGTTCTCTCTTGTGTTCTTAGAAAACGTTACTCAAGAAAATCAGTAGATGAGGATCTAAACCAAAGCCAAGAATAAACCTTACTATTATTACTTAACAATTACTAATGCTGAGAAATCTGCTTTCCACTCTTCCCTTTCTGTTCTGTCATTTATAATGGGAAACAAGAATTCTGAGTGCTAATCAAAAATATACATAAAGACTGAGTTCACATATAATGGTGCTTTCTCTTTATGAAAATGAGCCAGCTTCTGTCCACTGGAGTTAAGTTCTTCAAAAACATCTACCATTGGTTTTAGTTAATCAAGATTTATCATATCAAATCTAAAACTATGTCCAGACTCAATCACTGTTGGTTGCAAAAGCCAGTTTTATGGTTTGAAGTTGGAGTTTTTCAATTATCAGTATTTAAGATTAACCACTGTTTAATTCAAACACAGTGCTAATCATGGTACTGCTAAAATGGAAGTGAAAACACCTTGGTGTATTTCAATAATGTACTAAGCTTCCATACCAGTTTAATAAATATGCATACATTGCCATCTTTACCCCCTCATGTTTCTCCTTGAGCAGTGACAGAGTGAAGCGATTGAATTTTCAGTTTACAAGACCCAGAATTTGAAAACCAAGTGGACTAAAGAAGAATGGAGTAAAGTCTATCACTTCGATATGGAATATAGAACACTGAATTTTTCAGGGGCCTATATTATGATGATAGAAAAAGCTACACAAAGCAACACAAGAGTTCAGAAGTATTTTTAGAACTTACAAGATGGGGAAAAAATCAAACTATAAAGAGTAAGGATATAGAGGTTTAATTAAATACTTACCATAACAATCAGATTGGCATTAAGAATCTTTTTTTCTCCTTTCATATTCTGCCATTTCATAATTATGATGCCTGATAAGCTAAAAGATAATCATAGATAAATACATGGAACATAAAAGGTTAGCATGTCCTTATGAGCTTCTATTATTTCATTATAGTAGCCTGAATACAACATTTAAAATACATTTATTTTATTTATAATATTAGCATTTTCTTAAGTGCTATTGAGAAAATGATAAGAATTCAAATGATAATTTTAATATCCTTTCAAAGTCTACATTGGTTGCAAATTATTTAATCTTGCCAATTTTCAGCCTGGGGCTACGTTTATACACTATGTTAACCATAACAAGTTTGCAGTAAGCCAGAACAAAAATTATTATGCATAAGCCAATAGTGCCCCCAGCTAATTCACCAAATTTGTGTCTAAAATAATATTTAGAAACAATTCTAACAGTAGCTTCCTATTTGGAAAGCTGCAGCAAGATAATTCATTTATTTCTATATTTTGAAGGAGAACAATCTATATGCATAATGCTTTTAACAGAGAGAAAGCATAGAGCTTCAGTCTTATCTAAGTTGTATGCAATATTCCCTAACTTCACAGTCAGTTTTGGCTGTGGCTAGTGTGCCATAAGCACAACTAAATCCAGTTTTAAGTAAGCTTCTTCCACAGTTCTATGCAACCTAGGATATCTAATCTAGAGCCGATATACCATTTCCTGTTGATGGCATTCTATCAACTAGGAAATACATCTCATATAGCTCCTTGAAGTACATTCATGCTCATATATAAGGGCAACTATGGAAAATGATCCATATAAGTGGTCAATTGATTAAAACTCAGGAAAAGATGTAAAAAATAATTAAAGGTTGCTTTACAAATATTAATTTCACACATATTCTTACCATAACCCATAGTAGGACTGTTGAAGAAAGACTTAGGCCAACTTTTATCCAGTTAGGATTTTTTAAATCTTCCCTTCCTATTTGGAATATTGACCGAGACAATGCTAAAATAAAGAAGTTTCAAAATACATTAGTTCTGAAATGAATGTAAAATGCCTTTAAAAAATAATTCTTCAGTCATACATTAGGTATACATTTCTCAATTTAACCAAAAACAATTAAGTCACATTATGACTTGTTTTATTATTTGAGTCTCACATTACATTATTTGTGTCTCAGGTTATGTTTTCATAAGACAGACAAGATAGAAATAGTTATCAATTTTAGCTGAAATGTCATAGTTGTGAATATGTATGCAGTTATTGGATGAAATTAGAATTTTGTAAAAATCAATTCTTTTCATATATTGTATGGTTAGTTATATCAGAAGAAAAGTATCATCCAGTTTATTGTAAAGGACAACATTTAAACAGCATATATTATAATAAACAGGAAGAAGCAATGGCGTTTGAAATGTAAAATTATTTGTTTTTACCCCATTTTTTTTACTTCCTTAAAGAAAATGATTTTTTCCTACACTCACGTTTAATCCCAGGGGGAAAAATGCTTAAAGAGGTTCCAACATTAAGACCTTTTTCCCTTCAAACCAAACACTGCAAAGCACTAAAAGCAGGTATCTTACACTAAGTAACCCATCAGGCTTTCGATGGAAGAAAAAAGAGGAATGTAACAACCGTGCAGTAAAGGGATATGCTCATATGTTCATCACTCTGATACACAGATGCCACTGATGTACAAACACACTCAACCCGCTGCCCTAATTTGACCACACGGGGCACCGCAAATCTTTGTATGCACAGAGGCCTCAGCAAAATGGTCAAGAGAGAAAGGCAACTGCAGCTGAAGGTTATACATTCAGTCTAGTAGGGCGCAGCATTCACACATTCAGTCAACATGGATAGGGCAACAGAACGCCCATGCAAATTGAATGTTTTCTTCTGAATAGCCAAGGTTCCGAAAAGAAAACAAGTCCCACCCGAAACCACACAACTCACTTGGAGTCACCTTGCTTGGATTCTGCAAAAACCGCTTCGCAGCCCGCAAGGTCGCCGCCATGTTATTTTTCCTCTCGAGAGAAGCGAGGAGACAAACGCACCAGTCCAAGAGTAAGAGGGGCGGCTGCTAAAAAGATCTAAGGAAAGGATTTGGAGCGTCATCTATCGACAACTCGGCAGAACAACTCAGTCAGCCGTAATAGAAGTTCATCCCCACCGCAATGATATTCGTTTTTAATTAATGTCGGCTTTGGATGTTTGTTTGATGTTATGTTCTGCTGTGTTTTTTTATTTCGGGAACTAAAATATACACAACTGGTGTTGTTCAAGCTTTTCTTGAAATCACTGCCGTGATAGCATTCTCCTAAATTCATCTATTCTCCTAAATTCATCTGTTAAAGTGGATTGTAGTAATCAGAATTACTGATTTTGAAGTGGTTTGTAGTAATCAGAAAATAATGTTATTCTAATCACATTGTTTTCATAATTAAAAGGTTGCGCTAATTTTAAAAATTCATGTATATATATGAGGAAAAACAATTGAACACGAGGATACTTGTTTTTCTCAAGTATGAATGTACCCCGGATTCGTATTTTTAGTGTAATTATATGTATATATAATTACACTAAAATAATAAATATGAAGTTTTCAAATCATAAATTTCTGAACGTATTACTGAGTACAGAACACATAAAATTGGACTTAGATGATTTATAATGAAATCGGAGCTGTCAGAGTTACAAGATTACAATCCTTGCCAGCATCAAGTGGTTCCTCAGTTTGAAAAATGCTGATCATTTTGGAACCCATATACGGTTTCATAACTAATAACGCTGGACTCCAATTTCAAACCTCAGAGGTTTCAGGAATGCTGTCTTACCCCCGGTTTTTCCAGTTTTTTTAGATTAATAATACAAAACTGTTGTAAGAAGTGGTAAAAAGACTCTGTAGGTATGAAGATGATTGCACGATTTCATATTGGAGATGAAAAGAAGCAGGAAATCTTAGAATGTCAAACTTGTTTTCCTAGCCAATTTTTAATTGGAATTTTGTGCTACAGCTTCCAAAGTGACAACTATTGTCTTTTTAAATAACTAACATTCTAGATTCATAGCTATTGTGATAGTGGAGATCTGTAGCTTTAAGTGTAGAAAGACATTAAGTGCCAGATATTAAAGACATGACAGGAGTCTATTTTCCCAATGCTTTTTGGGCTTCATACAGGCATCATGTGGGCGATTGCGACGAATGGTTGTTTGCTCTGACCATGCATTTATTTATAATACGATTTGAATATTAGCTTTAAGTTGTAACACTCTCCAGGACAATTCCAGCAACCTCCATAGCTCCTGTGATTTTAATTCTTCGGTTTCCTTTTCTAAGAATGAGTCAAGCCTTATACATGTGTATAGTTCTGAACTCTTGAAGGAATTCAACAGCGTTACGCGCACACCGAGACATTTTCTCAGCCTCGGAGCTCAGTAAACGCGCAGGCGCAACACTTCCCCAAGACGCTGCGAGACCTTAAGAACTATCTTATTTCCCGACTTGCCCTGCTGCTGCCATTCAAGTCTATGGAGAAAAGACAGGAAGAAGAGGGGGGGAAAGGGGGTCATGGCGCATGCGCGCAACTCCTGATGACCCGGCTGGGGAAACCCACACTGGCGGCCATTTTGGCGGCGCCTCCTCTCTGTGGCCTGCTCAGTTACCACGTGAACCGGCCGCCGCCTGGGGCTTGCTGCGGAGCAGGGGTAACTGGGCACAGGCATCCCGGCGGCAAGGGAAGCCGCACAAAGTAGAAGGGGGAGTTGCCGTAGCAAACGACGGCAGTGCTGGTGGTAGCGACGCCCTGGCGTGGAGTCCCTCCTGAGAGGCGGCGGTAGGGGTGGTGATCAGACAGCGGTAGAAGGGAGCGGGTTTACCGGCCCGGTCGTAGCAAGAAGGGCGGAGGCGGTGGCGGCGGCGACAACAGTAGCAGAGACAATGCCGTCAGTGAGCCTCCCGCCGAAGGAAAACGCGCTCTTCAAGCGCATCCTGGTGAGTGAAAGAAGCCCTCGTCTAAGCCTGCCTGCCTGCCTACCCTCCCGGCGGAGTTTTCCATGAAACTGGGGCCCCAGGGGATGCTTAACAACTCCCGGGTCAAAAACAATCTCTCCCGCTTTCGTTTGGTTTGAGCTCTGCTGACAAATGCAACTTGGACTTTTAAAGGATCTCTCGGCCATGTCAGCGTTTCTTGTTCCAGAACTGCCCGTAGAATGTGTTGGGCATGCTTTACTTCCATCACGCCCCAGGGCCAGCTTAGAAAGGATTTGGTTGCTGAGAATGGCTATTTTCTGGTTTTAGAAGCAAGTAATAGACAAGCCTTTGGTGGGCGAAACAATAGGGAGAACAGAGCAACAAAAAAAAAAAGTTTGTTCAGTGAGAGGCAGGTTGTAAAAAAATCTGGGTTTTGTGGTTCTTTTATTTAAAGGAGAGAATGAAAAGTCACCACTGTTCTTACCTTTTCCTTGGTCTGATTGCTTTGAAAATAGCCTTTCAGTTATCAAAGGTTATTTCAAACATAAATCAACGGTTCTGTATGTGTTATCTTGCAGTATTGTTACATTGTGCTGATCTAAAATAAGTTTGCCTAATGTGATATTAGTGAATTAAAACGATCTACAAAATTCATCGGTTTTATTTTTAAAAAAATAGATGGAAGTTAAATTATTTGAAATGCAACACTGTAAATCTAGCAATTAGTCAAATGGACAAATTGTTAAAGTTTGCTATTTTATCTACTTAAACTTTGATAGGTTTCTGTCTTGAACATTTGTATAATGTATGCGATGTTTTCCAGAATTTTCAAATTGTGACTTAGTGGACAATGATTGTATAATGTTAAGCCAAAACAGAGATGTCACATTACACCATGTAACTCAATCCTGTGTTAGATATCTAATGATCATCTATTTTTAAGAACATAGATATGTTCTTAGGAGGATGTTATACCCAAAATATTGCAGTCATTTAGAATATGACAACTGTAAATTACAGAATGAGTAATTGGGATGGACAGAAATGATGAGGCCATTAATGTCTTCTTATATCTAGTAACTCTTGTCTGGAACAATCTGTAGTAAAGGAATATTCAGAAAGAAAACCTGTATCATTCTCGAATAGGTTAAAAGTGGATATAATTACTAAGCAAATAATTCAGCTATAGGGCAGATATTTAAGTTCAGTTGTGTAACTGGAAGATACCTAAATAAGCAGAGTGCCTATATTTCCTTAATGTTCAGGTTTTATATTTGTGGGATCAACAGTTTATTTGCATGAATACTGCATAGTAGTCATCTCCAAGAAGATCTTTATATGATACATTATGGCAATATGAAATTGCTAAAATATTTTAGTTGCAGCCTCACATTTTACAAAAGTGGAATATTCGAATATAGAATTTAAAATGTGTACATGAATTAATGTAGGATTTTTTATGTATCCTTTTATTCTGTTTTGCCAAGTTAGTTTAGAGTAGATTACTTTGGAATGTTCGTTGTGCCATTCAGGCTTTTACATTGGGCCTTATTTACTTAGTTTTGGTAAACATAGAATTATGTCATATGTATGATCTGTGTGCATAAATGAGTATACAGAAGTCAGCAATTACTTAGTATTATATCCCAATTGATATATTTGCCCAAATAAGCCAGGATCATCAGGTTTAGATCATGAGTCATTTTAGATTATGAATGCCAGTTTGTTTAAATATAACACTAAAATATCCTTAAGTCTTTTTATTGACCAGAGAATATCTAGGGAAATTAAGTGGAATAAAATGTTTATATTCTGAGAAATCAGAATTCCTGACATATTTGAATGTAGCAATTTTGTTCAGGTGGAACCAATTCCAAACTGAATATTATCATAAGAAATACATAAATTCATAGTAAAAGTACTGTACAGAGTAATTATAATACAGAAGTTGAAAGAATGGTTTTGGAACAGGCAGTTAGACTTAAGATAAGGAACTTGTTTTAGTGTTCTTTACTTGTCCCAACTTGATTTTCTATGTTTTAATGCTGTTTTGCAAATAAACAGGTATTTAAACTGTGTTTGTTAAGCACATGTAATAGAGTCCTATTTTCCTGTGGAAAATGCTAAATTTGTCTAGTGACTTATCTGAATTTGTAGAACTTTTAACACTACTTTTTAAAATACAGAACTAAGATAGTTTTGTTCATTTTGACAACTAATCATGAAACCTGTATCAGTACAAAATGAATGAATGAATGAAAGGCGTGTATCTTTACAGTTCTGTGAAGTAGAAAATGCTTTAGGTGTTAGATATGTGAAATAGCATACTTTAGGTATATGTAGGAATAAGATCCATATTTTTTCTCCACCTATTTGCATGTGTACAGGTAGTTCTTGACTTATGGCCATTCCTTCAGTGACTTTTCAAAGTTACTGTAATGCTGAACTAAGGGAATTATGAGCCTTCCTCAAAGTTACAACTATTGCAGTACCCCTGCAGTCAGGTGATTACGATCTGGGACCTTGGCAACTTATTCTGGATGCTTGAGAACTGGTTGCCAAGCACCCATGATCATGTAAGCAACATTTGCAGTCTTCCCTGCAAGCTTCCCCAGAAGGTCAGTGGGGAAGCCGGCAGAAAAGGTCGCAAGCCATTGCTGCCTGCCTAGAAGACTCTCTCTGGGAGTTGGCTGGAAAAGCTCCATATTCAAATTCAAGCTTTGACATGGAGTATTTTCAGACAGCCCCTCAACGTTGAGAAGATTCTCCTTCAGCACTGAGCTTTTTCATTGATCCCCAAAGATGAGAGAAAAGAGCGGCAGCTTAGATTTCTTAATGGATTTCTGCTGGATTTCAGTCTGGAGCCTTTTTAGCCAACCCCCAGAGATGAGAGGGAGCCTTTCCACTAAGAAGGGGCTGGCTGAAAACACTGTGGTGAAATCCAGGCACAATTTTCAGTCACAGAGGATTTTGAGCCGCAGAGTGGAAAGGTTTCAGAAACCGCTCGACTCTGGGGATGAAAATTCAAGCAGTTCGGAGGCCCTCACCCACCCTCTCTGCTGTGCTCCCTTGCTTCCTTCCCCACCTGG